GCAGGGCTGCATTCTCAGGAACACAACAAATTTCCCAGCAAGAGGGGTCTTCATCATGTTATACCTTTGCTCTCATACAGGTTCACATAACTTCATAAATACTTTGTGACAAATAGGCATTTGATTGAGTAATTTACTACAGAACAGGCAGCGCGCTAAAGAATTTGTATGGAAGGTTCTTTTTGAAACTTAGTGAAAATTAGACTGACCCCTTCAATTTCATAACTACTGGAAAGTACCTAGTACTTAAGATTTCTTAAGTTGTTAAATTTTCAAAACCTCTTCTGATATTTAAGTGGTGGAGCACACATTATGGTCAATTTGAATCGTGGATACAGCGTACCTTCGGATGCTTTTAAAACTGCATATGGGCTTTTAAAACAGTCCTCACTTCCTGTGACTGTCAGCAGATTCAGTTACTGAAATTCTAGTACAAATGCAGTGAAAAAACAACCTGTGTGAGTTGTGGGACTGGTAGACCTTGGTTTTCTGTGCATCTTTGCATAGTGGCATTGGCAGCTGGGCATGGCACTGAGGCTGTCATTTTAGCAAGCATTTGCATGGTTGTTTAATAGCACTACATCTCCTTTTTATATCCAGTATTAATAGGTGGTTTCATAGTTGGGTATAGTCAAATTAAAGGTGGCTGTCAGTTTTTATATATCCTGTCAGTTTGCTTATGTTTTAATTTTTGTTTTAAATACTGGCACGTACAACAAATAACCCATCCAAAATTAAATATTTTTCTCCATGTCCATTTTTTAAATCAGATTATTAAAAGTAAACATTGAGTCACTTTCCAAGAAAATACCATCCTGTGTTGAAAAATTATGATGCTTTAAAGGTAATAGCATTAAAATATTTTAACTGTTTTTAAATAAATATATGGATTTTTTCCAAAAAGTTGGAAAAAATCCTACAGAGAAGATGGAATAAGGAGAATTCCAAGATGGAATAAGGTAAAAGGCTTAAGACTTATCATGAACCATTTACACTTCCAGACTAAAGGAAGCCTGTACACATGCAAGAAACATTGTTTGAATCATAACAGAATGAATCATAGAATTGTAAAACAGTTTGGGTTGGAAGGGATGTTAAAATATTATCTAGTCCCAGACCCCCTGCCATGGGCAGGGACATCTTTCAGTAGCTTAGGTTGCTCAGTGAAGAAGACTGATATTGATAACACTTAAAATCAAGGACTTTGTGAACAACCTTTCAGCTGAGGAATAGGCAAAGCTTTCAGGTGCCTATGTGCATGCAGTTGGGGGGTGACCATATTAAAGTCTGAGACAAATGTCCTTCAAGAGACGGCTAAGTCAGGAGGGTAGAAATAATCAAATAGGAGATGGAAAACCATGAAGACATTTCAATAGCTGTTCAAACACACTGCAAAGAAAGGAACCAAAGCTGTTCTACACAAATGCTAGAAATCTAAGAAATGTGATAGAGGAACCACAGTATTGGCTAAATATCAGAGGATATAAGATTGGCTAAACAGACCTGTGGTTTGAACCATGATGGCCATTCTTATTTTCTGGTCAGCCTACATCTGCTTTTTCAAGTCAAAAGCAGTCTGGGATGTAAATGGGCTGAAACGCTATTTTTACAACTTTGTTTCAAGTGTGAAATGCATAGCCAAAACCATAACCCCACATAAGGGAGCTGAACAGCTCTGCTCATCACAAGGAATATACAGGGACTGTGGCCTACCAAGTACGATGTGGCTGAGCCCTGATGCACCATCACAATTTCAGAAAGTAAAGAATAATACATGCCTGATCTTAGATGCAACAGGAGTTACAAGATAAACTTCAGTCACCCATGTTCTTAGATTGCCATTAATCTCTGCAGGAGGCACCAATGGAAAGTGTTAATAAGAATAAACTGGGAAGTAAATGCTACTAAAAAAAAACAACCCAGGAAAAAAGAAACCCTCCAGCTTTAGATTGGAAGCAAGGGGAGCTTTGCCAGGTGTGGGAGTGCAGAGAGGCCTTTGAGTGCTGCACAGAGCTGCAGCTGTGTCTCTGTCTTTAGTGAGTGCTTGTTTCCTCTGTCTGGGAGCATGCACTCTCCACATGCACTTCTGAACTCCTGCTGATGGCAGGTGAAGCTTATCTGCCAGATAGTACTGGCTCGAGGTATCCAAGAGAGCCATCAACCCCCTACACTGACAGGCAGTAGCAAGAGTTAATATGGGTGATAACTAGTCACTGTGTTTGGCTTCTTTTTACTATTAAAAGAAAGAAGAGCTCTTCTCCCATAGGAATGACATGAATGTGTGTTTGCCAGAGCCAGGCTGGATTGGAATGGCTTCCCCCATTGCCAAACAGAGATCCAGAGCTGTCCTAGTGAGAACTCTGGAGGATCCCTGTGGAAAACAGTCACAGGAAGAAGGCAGGTAAATGGTGACAGGTGGGGCCAGGGTCCCCTTGGCTGACTGCTACCAAATGGTGAGCAGGCAAATCTCTGATGCCTAGGAATGTGTGGGGTTTCCTCTCTCTGAAATGAGCCTCATCAGGCTGGGAGAGCAGACCAGCCAGACCTCTGAGACCTCCCAAGGAATAAAGTGGGGTCACACTTCTCTCCAGAAAGCAATGCTGGTTTTTTGCAGGACCCCAGGCATCTAAGACTTGTGAACAGCCTTGCTAAAGCCTGCTGCCAGTAAACATTGAAACTGGGAAACTTTCATATTCAGACTAAACCCAACATACTTACAAATGGACACGTGTTTGGACTTTGTCCCCCACTCCATTTGCATAGCCTTTCCACTTGACATTAGCTAGTGGCCCCCCACCAATAGTAAGAGCTGGGAAGCAACATCCCAACAGCTAATTCCAGGTCCCTCCAGCCAAATACACACAGCACCCCAATGATGGTCTGGAAACCGGAGAGACACAGTGGTGTGATAACAAGGTCACTGCAGACAAGCAGCAGCAAAGGCACACTGCCATCTGTCTAAATCTTTGAGTATGTTTGAACATAATGGTGTACTGAGGCTAAAGGACTGGAAATGTGGGATGACGTGCTTAAACGCACAACCTCTGTTTGCCCTTGTGAAGATTATGAGCCATACCTAAAAGCACACTGTCACAGGATCAGGTAAATTGGCTTTTATTGAAACATACTGTAATATGAGGCAGGGGGGCTGGGGGGAAGATTCCAATTTAACACCAGTACATTGCATTTCAGGCTCCCAAATAACTATTGATATCTGCTGTCCTGGAGCAAATCATATCTTCCTTGACAAGTCAGACAGCTGCTCTTTCTCTATCTCCCTTTTGTTATCTTTAATAGCCATGGATTGTTGTGGTACCTTGAAAAAAATGTTTGCGACTTACTTGATGGATGTCTCACCTCCTGCTATTAACCCTAGTTCATGGGTTCATCTAATGCCTGTTCTTGCCTACAAAACTCAGACCAAGTGCTTTTGAAGTGAGAGTGTGCTGGGTGCCACTGCACAGTGGGTGCAGAGCACACTGTGTACAGCTTCTCTTCCCCTCCAGCTGGCAGCCAGTGGGGTGAACAAGCTCTCTTGATCATCCTGAAATACAGTTAAGGTAGAAGCAACCTCTGGAGCTTATCTGGTCCAGGCCCCTGCTCAGAGCAGGGCCAACCTTCAAGTCCGATAAGATTGCTCAGGGTCTTCCCCAGCTGAGGCCTGGCTATCTTCAGGGAAGTAGATCCCACAGTTTCTCGGGGAAAATGCTTCCATGTTTGATCACAGTCATTGTGATGAATTTTTTTCCATTTGTTTAAGGTACAGGAATACTGATATCTTAAATACAGGAATACTAACAATTGTAAGATAGGTCTAAAGAAAACCATGGCTATATTTGACCATTTTCTCCCAGACTTTGAATAGAAAAGACAAAGCAAATCTCTTTCAGGCTATGAACTGTCCTAAGGTGTGTCAAAGGAAATAAAGACAAATGTGGTAGAAATGGCCGGGGGTGGTGATAGTGCAGCTGTTGCCTTGCTTTCCTCTGTCAGACTTTGCTGCCCCCAAATTTCAGTCAACACCATGGGCTGTGTAAGGTCTCCCCAGGCTGCTCCAGGTCAGCCCTAAAAACCTTCAACAGCAAACAGAAGTGTGTGTGTGTGGGTTAAGCTAAGTTACATGTTGCAAACAAGGAGCGCTTATATTGTCCGTTCAGCCAGCACAGCTGTAGGGGCACAGCCTCTGCATACAGACACTACAAAAAGCTGGACAAGTTAACAATTTGAAGAGCCACAATCCCTTCTGCAGTCTTTCTGTGGCACTTACCCACTTGCCCTGACACCGAGAGAAAGAACTGCAGCTGGACACCTGTACCTGTTTGAACAAACAGTCGGGTCCCCGTCCAAAATCATCAAAGGGCACCTAATAACAACTGCCAACTGCTATTGTGCGTTTAGGAGCAACCTTTAAACCAGAGCATTTAAAAATCTGCTTATGGGGAACATCCTTAAGTTGATGGGTATCATGGAAGTCATGTAACCCAGTATTAGCTACCCCGGTGCCTCTGCTTTTTGTGTCTGTATTTGCCTGATTAATCCATGATTAAGAACGAGAGCTAGCTGCACGTCCCTAGTAAGGTTTTATATTCCTAAATAGGAAAAACCAACCCCTTTGGACCAGACTGTAGAACAAGCATCATTTTGGAGAGAGGGGCAAGACTGACACATTTAGTATGGAGTTGCAGCATATAGTAATAAACAGGGCCCTCTTTCTACTTCTCAGTGGTGTGCACACATGCCCATTTTTCATGTGCTGATGGAGCATTCAGCATTGAGATTGGCACTTCCAACACTCAAGTGGGGAGAAGGGATTTCTGCTCTAATCTGTGTATTGTGTACTCCTCCTAGCTCTCTTGTATTCTCCTTGTGTAGCTGAGACCAAAAGAGAGGATTTTTTTTAATCTCACATTTGTAGCTATCAGCTAAAAAGAATACTAACAGAAAGAGAAATTTAGATCCTCCACCATGAAATTAACAGCCATGCTTTGTGATTTGAACAGGTCCCCAGTGGTACCCTTCCCGTGTTGGCCTGCAACTAGAACGCAGTAAGTATTCATATGGTTGAACACAACCACCTAACATATTACTAATCCTCTGGCAAGTTCTCCTTCTAACAGTATTGCTCTCTCTATACGTGTTATCGGGTGAACTGTTAGCACTCTTTCATTAATTGATAACAATGATTAACTTATTAGCATTCTTATTAATAAAGGAATCTAATGGTTTTCATAACCACTGAGTAAAAATGTTTCAGAATACAGCATATGATCAAATAATGAAGACAAGTTTTAAAACCATTCACTCACTTCCCTCACTCCTTGCATTATCTGTTTTAATACTTGTTCACAGCCTCATCAGAAGATGCAACTGGCTGAAGGAGGCAGCCTCTATTTTTGTGCCAGTACACCAGTTCTTGATGGACATGGCAGTGGGTGATGAAGCTGCCACGGGCTGTGTGGCAGTTGGTCTGTGGACATGTAGCATTGCAGAGCCTTAGAAAATGAGGGCTCAGCACCTGGTGGAATTTAGCACCCTCACTGACTTAAACAGTCAACAGAAGTATATTGAAAAGGAGACACAATACCCAAAGTGGAAAAGAGAAAAGAAGCGTTGCAGCCATGGCAACACCCCATGCCAGTGGCTGTTGGGGTTTCCTAATATCCAACTCACTGCCTCTATTAAAAAAAAGAGAACCAGATATTGCCATTTTATGTCTCTGCCTGTACACTCGGTGCATCAGGACTGGAAGCAGATGCCTCAGAATACTGTGAAAAGTAATGTAATGCTTAGACACACCTGGTCTGTCTAGGTCAGACAACTTACAAAGAAATCTTGGTCTGTGGGCCTTTGCCCGAGAGGTTGGTTCATCATGATGGTGTCACCTATTGTAAAATAGCCTGAGAATGCAAACACTTCAGCAAAAGAGATCAGTGAGGGATACACTGTATAACATTGACTTTCCCATTAGTATTGCAAGACAGAACAAGAAGTGCTCTATGAAATTGTAGGTGTGGTTGCACGGCATCTCTCTAATAGTTTAGATTAACAGAGAGCGCATCGTAACAATTGCTATGCATTGCCGCCCAGTGTCATGTCAGCCTAATGCTTTTGTTAAAATGAGAGGAGAATAACTCATAGAAATGCTCCAAGTTGCTAACCTGGAGAATAAGTACCAAGTCACCAAAATAAATCTGAATACAAGTTGGGCCTACACCTTGACCCAGGCATGGCAGCCTACACATTATGCTGAGCGTCTGAGAGGATGCCTGTTGTTTGTGCCATCTCCTTTTCCCTTTTTGTCATTACAGATGGGCCCTATTTGAAGGATTCCATTAACATTCAAAGCCTTGCCGTTTCTTCCATTATTACACTGTATTTTACAGACCTGGGTCAGCAGGTCAGTTGGACCACAGTAAGTATGTCCTTGTAACAATCAACATGATACATCTTTAATGTACAATGTGTTTTAGCATCAAATTACTCCAACTTCCTCAGCCTGTCCTTCCCTTGGTCAAATGGTGTAATTACTTTATCAGCAGTCAAAACAGAATTAAATGCATAGTGAGCCAAGTTATCAACATGCTAACTCTGACATCCAATTAAAGATTAGAAGGTGGACATAACAATATTGCCTGAGAAAAAAAAAATCCATTTTTAAAAACAGTGGTATCTTATCTAGGGTTTGTATGCCTGTGCAGGACCTGTAGCCAAATACATTCATTTGCTGAAACGCTCTTCAGCTTTGAAAGTGGAAGGATATTAAAAAGAAAAAATGGATTTCTGGTAATCCTGTTACTAACACAGGAAAATTATTGGATGGGAATGTCTTACTCTTTGTTCACCCAGCGAACAGTTCTGAGAGAGTGGTGAGGCCAAGGATTCCAGGCAGAAGATGCCCAGCCAGGCTCAGGAGTCACAAAACTTTTGAATCTCTTTGTAAAACAAAAGCATTCATCATGAACATCAATACCTGTATTATGCTGTGGGTAGAACCACGGTCTGTTTTTACTTCTGGTCTCAGTTTGACTTCAGTTACATTCCTTTAAGCAGCTATTAGAAGGTCAGGGTGGTGAGAGAGAGGCAACATGTTCCACCCAAATGGGATTGTGGGGAACTCTAACCTTACGGGCTCTTCCGTGCAAGGAGGAAGTGAAAGATTCAATTCTTTCATAGCCCAAAGACAGAAGACAGCAGAAGGGTTTGAAAGGACAGTGAAGGAATGGGAGAGGAAGAGACCTTTCCAACGTCCTGCAGCAGGCATAGATGCAGAGCTGAAAGTAGTCTCACTACTAGACTGACCTAGCTTTTGCTGTAGTTTGCATGTACTGTGTTAGCTGGAGTAACACACAACTCACATCTGTATTTTGGGTTGTGAGATTCCCAATTTCTGCAGTGAGAAACATGAGTAAGATAGAACTCCAGTTTCTGAAAGCCATAAAAGCCATGATGAGACTGTTCATAGCAATGGAAAACAAACTGCCAATTGCTTGCAATTTCTTTAATGAAGCAAGTGAGTTTTCACTAATTGGCATCAAGTCTGTTGGCCAAATTATTAGATTCTTACCTCAGGCAGCCCACAGATCCCACCCTGCTCATGTGGGGTGACCACAAGGCCCACTGACAAGCCACTGTCCTTCCTTGGCTGTGCCTATATGGATGGATCCTGTGAGTGTCAGGTCTTTAAGCAGCTTGCAGATGACAGTACTGGTTCCTCTCTCCAGTAGGTCACTATGGGCTAGGAAGCATTTACTGCAAGACACTTAGAATGGACATGCTATTTTACAGCTCCTTATCCGTTAAACAGTACACTCAAGGTGGATGTTACTGCCAGAACTGCCCTTGACTTTGGGAAGAGTCAGCTTCTGGATCAGCACTGTAAGGTCAAATATCCATCTCACCTGCTCAAGCTCATGTGCATTTCTCTCTCTCCAAGGAAGCAGATAGCCCTTTGCACCACAAACTGTGTGAGGTTTTAGCCCCTATGAACAAGAACATGACCTATATCTATCCTTCCCAGTTCTAACAACAAGACCCAAATGCCCAGGTGGTGACAAGCAGTTTACTTCAGTGGAGTTAGAGCAGTTTACACTATGTGACCTACCCATTTCAGCAGAGGTCTGCAAGTTTACCAAGGCTGAGGCTTTACCCCACTGATTCCCATAGTGATTAATGGCTTACTGGGGCCATACTGATTAATGCTAGTTGGGGTCCTGTTTCCCCCCTCAACCCATCCCACCACCTCTCAACCGTGGAATTGCCTTGCAAAGCAAAATTGTGAGTAGTGCAGCCTCCTGTTTGCTACAACTAAGTAATCTGCAAGAACTTTATTTATTCTCTCCTTTCCTGGTGGTTTATGTAGCCTAAGACAGTAACATAACTAAAGCTTAATATCCCATTATAAATAGTGCAGTTATGACTAGGCGTTGATACTGCAGGCAGTGGCATTTTTTTATGATTTAATCTGTGTGTGCAGAAAGTTGACTCCATGAGTTTCTAAATATTCATCTTATCCCATTCTGTTCCATATTCTAAATTGTATCCGTTCTCAGTGGGAGAAATCTTCTTCCTAGCCACATCATTTAAACAGTCAAGAGATTTTTATATTATAGCTAGTCTATAGCAATAGAGAAAAGGTTCAGAGAAGACTGTATTCTAACAATAGCAATTAAGAATGTATTTGTACACAGGATATGTAGTTTTACTGCCATTTTTACTGTGCTTAGAGCTCCCATTCTCCCATCCCCCTTGATGCTACATCAGATTTATATACACAGTGAGGGATGCGTCTGATTTAAAGGGTTGACATTTAAATAAACAAAGCACAGAATAAAAATGTTATCTCATCAGCAAAATGATAGCTGAGGTACAAACAGCAACATTCAGGTCTGGACTCCAAAAATAGTCACAGAAGCACAAGGAGATATGTTGGTGTTCCAGAGGTCGATGCATTGGGCATGGGGAAAACCAAGCACAGAAATGGGTCTTCTGGGGCTTTGTCACCTCATTGGAGATCGCACTCGAGATGCCCACTTGAGGATCAAGAACACTAAGATCCCCAATGCTGGGGATTTACACCAAGACAATGAACTTGTGTTTTTTAAAAGGAGAAAGTGGTACGCACCTCCACCTCCTGGAGGCAGTACCCTCTCCAGGCATGCTGTAAAATAAAAGATGATGCTGTTGTCTGTTCCCAAACAAACAGTTTGGGTCCCTAAGTCTAGGAGCATATTTCTGTATCAAGAAAGCTCAGCGTCCCTTTTGGAGCATGCACAAACTCTGATTTACAGTCCTTGTCAAACTCCACCTTGGTGGCTTGAGTTTGTCATCTGTTGTCTACTCAGTCTCTCTGTCAGAGGCTGCCACTTTGTAGGAAAGATGTTTCCTTCTCATCCTCAGCCTTCTTAAAACATGGTTGCGCAGTGACCGAAGTATTTTTGGTGTTTTGTGCTGTGAAAGGCCAGACATCCCCTGGGCTCAGGTTACACTGAGATTGGTTGACCAGATTTCAACAAGTTCTAGAGGCTGGGTTGCTCTGAGGGAGGAGGGAGGACAAACTGGGGTGAGGGATTTCTGTTCTCCTCCACTAGAGCAATTACTTGTCAATCTCTTTTGAAAATGAGACCCTTTCCTGGGATAATGCGGGTAGAAATCCAACCTCAGATGGCTCTTTTAGAAGAATGGAGGCCCTCAAGGCTCATCTCCGGAAAGCAATTCAGGGAGAAAACAAAACATGTTTCTTAGTATCATGGATTTTGTTAGAACTCTCTCTCTACTCTGCCTTCTTTTTTATAAAACAAATATTATTATCTGAAACACATAATTTACTTGTGCACAAGATTTACCAATTCCTTTACCCTACCTGGAGGGGATAGTTGAGGTTTGCTGACTGATGCTGCAGAGATACTAATGGGAGCTGAGTTTACAGATCTTTTCTATGTGCCTCCTGCAAAGATTGTACCCCCAGGGGTGTTTGAAATTCCCACCACTGGAGTGATGGGTTTTATTTTTAATCTCTGTCCAGTTTTGGGCCTAAGCACATTTGACAGAGACCTCTTTTTATATATTGCAATGTGGCATGTGACTTTTTGAAACATGGCTGGCATTTTACCACTAAGAAAGCATACTGGTGCTGTAGTCAAAAGGAAAAAAAAAAAAAGCATTCTTCCTGCATAGATTCAGACTTCTGTTAAAGCTTTCCTCATTTGAGCAGCGATTGCAATTTCTGATTTATCAGCTTCTGTTTTCTAGTTGCTACCCAGGCAGGCTACCAGAAGGATCAACATAATCCTGGGAAAACAGCATAGAACTGTGAAAAATACATTTTACCTCCAAGTCTGTGCATTTCTTAAGATTAACCCTGAAACACAGTACTTCAGTAAATATTTTTTGTAACTGTGATTTAAAATTAGGGATTGCTTAAATACTTTGACTTCTGAGAGCCTTAAAATGCTGAGGCTGGCAGCAGAACTGCTCCATTTGCTTAGATTATAGTTCCTTAGGTTGTGCATTTTTTTGCTTTGTGTTTGTACAGCCCCCCCGCCCCCGCATACCCTCCCTATATGACTCTGATTCCACACAGCTCTGTGATACAAACAAATAATCACACAGAGAAAAATGTTGATTCTCTCTGATCTGAGTTACCACTTCAATAGACTTCTGCTGGTATAAAACAGAGCTGGCTGAAAAATGGAACTGTATTTAATAGGTTTAAGATTATATTATACATAATTTCTCTGGAATAGTTTCAAATTTTCCAATTAAAAAAAGATTCTGCTCAATTTAGAAATGTAGAGACTAATACTTATTTAAACCTGAGAACATCTTTGAAATCTGAAAATCTACGCTTTCACTAATTGGTCTGCTTCCTTCTGGCTGGCAAGCAAAATTATCACGAAGTTAGACATTGTGGAAAATGAACAAGAAGCCAAGAGATCTATGTTTGAAGCGTTGTGGTTATGTATAGCAGGTGTACACAGTGGGGAAGTGTGTGCTGTACTGAATAATGAGGCGCGCCTGTTCTCTTGGGGGGAAGGCAGTGTTTCTGTCAGTGGGGTTCTCTCCTTTTACTTGCACACAGTGCACGCATGCTGTTTTTCTATCCTGTGGGTGTGGGTGGGTGGTGAATAGGGGAGAAGCAGTTTGCTCTGACTGTGGCTGGCAGAGCTCACTCAGTTGGTCCTGTAAACATGGAACAATCCCATGAAGTCTGTGGGATGAGTGTGATATGAAGAAATTTATGAGTATTGATGGTTTTAAAAAAGACTCATTTTCTCCACCTTCTCTATACTGAGGTCAGCTTTGGGCTTCCCATGGGGAACAACTTAAGATGTTTTCCCTAATTTGGGAACAGAAGAAAAGACTTCAATAAAGATTTATAACATCTCAACAGGATGTAGAAGTACAGACAATTAT